CGGAGCAATCTGTAGAGCTGGAAGCTGAGAACTGGCGACTTTCTAGTACAACTTTAGCACGCGGAACAACCTGTGGAGCTGGAAGCTGAGAACTGGCCACTTTGTAGTACAAGTGTAGTACGCGGAGGAGTCATCTCTCGCTGCTGAGTCAGCTCTCGCTGCTGTGAGTCATCTCTCGCGACTGAGTCATCTGCTGACTGAGTCAGCTCTCGCTATAGCCATCTCTCGCAGCTGAGTCATCTCTCGCGACTCAGTCATTTCTCGCTGCTGAGTCATCTCTCGCGGCGTGCAGGTTTGGCACAGTTCATACTGATAGTATTTGATTGCATTTAAGCAGGGCAGGACATTCAACTGCTGGTCAATACACCACTCATCATACACCACTCAGCATACACCACTCATCATACACCACTCGTCATACACCACTCATCATACACCACTCAACATACACCACTCGTCATACACCCCTCTTGTCGTGGCAAAGATACAACCCAGTACGCTGTTGTGAGCTGCTGATCCTGCAGGGGGCACACACCTTACACACGTGGAATCCCGTGGGTCAAAAGTCCGGAGCGCGTGCGTTTGACTGGAGGACGCGCATGTTGGAGAGAATGTGGACACTCCTATAGGTCAATTTGTTCTTATAGGAAACTTCCGCCGCCGGCTTGCCCGGGAACTGCTTGTATATACAATAATATATGTATATCACCAGACTATCCCAGTAGAAAGGACAATCAGGTTTTGGCCGTAGCTCACTCAACGGTGGTCGCAGCTGGCTCACGACATCGTCGAACGACAGCGTCGAACGAAAGCGACGCCAGTCAGCGACAGGTCGAAGAGGTCCTGGCGGAACTGAAGGGCAAAATTCCGAATCTCTGAGCTGCGGGTCGAGCTGTGGCTTTTTCCGAGAGAAGATTGATGTGTAGGTTGTAGCTGGGAAGAAGGGCTGGAGCACCAAAAATGGCACCAAGTGTCTCATCTGAGTAGCATGGAGGGGCAGTTGGGACAGTTGTATGTAAGAGGATGATATCAGATGTAAACAAGTTCTCTGGACTTGGAAAAGGGATTGCGAGAGTCCTCAGATTTAATCCCAGATCAGGACATATCAGGACCTGAGAAAGTCTGGTCAAGATCCAGACAACAAACGGCAAACCGAATTGCTGATTCAAACACAGTCAAGTTCTTTTCAAGATGACCAGCTGTATTTGATATTTCTTAGAAGTTCTTAGAAGGATAATTACATTGGCTGGGGGGGCAGGGGTCAGGACTAGCTGCTAGCTAGCTGCTAGCTGGTCTCGGATCATGTCGAGAAACTCTTTGTTTTGAACAGTGCCAATGCGATTCGCCCTAGAAATGGCAGATTTTGGTGGATTTTTGCAAGCACGACTGCGTGGACGGGGGATCACAGGTCGGCGACACTAGTATGACTTAGGACGGAGGATCCCATTTAGGACTGAATGCATCAGAGGAAGTCAAGTCACAGCTTTCTTGGTATCAGCGGAAACAAAGCAGCTGTCATGGGAGTAGAAACCTCTAAGGCCTTGGAAGAAGAGCATAAACGCAACTTGGTCGAGATTGGTAGATATCTAGCCCAGAAAACCCTGATCCCACGCTAGGCTTCTCCTGTCAGCTTGCATATCTTGCCATCAAAGATGGTCTGACAGCAACGTCTGTGGTCTGAGGGCACTTGAATCCGGAGTCCGCATCTTGTGGTGGGGTGGACTTTCCCCATTGGCCTCAACTCAAAAGTTCAAAGGCTTGTAGCTCTCACTGCGAAGCTACAAGAATGTTCAGAAGGTATGAACTACTGGCTGCAAGAAGCCCGAAAGCCACAGTCATTCGGTGTCTTCGCCGGGATGCCCAAGGCATTCGATGTGCGTGTGGTCTTTTTTTTTTTCAGAGGCCAACTGCGAAGGCTTGGCTTGCTGAAAAAACATGATGCGCGGACTATTCAGGCGAAATGCCTCGTTGTCACATCTTCCGATGCTATCCTTCAAGTATATCAGTATATCCGATCAGCACAAGCTTCCCGCCTGAAAGTGTTTTGGAAGTTGACCTGACATTTGTTAAGGAGATGTCCATTCTCTTTCACCCGGGATCTGTGCTTCTTTTTGGGGCCAGAGCATCTTGGGATGCCTCAAACCCCTGCTCGCCAGCCAGACCATGTCACACCTACTGTATTTGAATACTTGATTATATGAGTCTTTTTAAAACAAACAACGATGAATGGACAGTCAATCCTTTGCTTGGTTTAGGGTCAAACATGACCACGGTGAAAAATCAGCGGAGAACAAACATCTACTGATGAAATAAGAGAGGTCGTGCCACAGATGTTGATCCATCAACTTCATCGCTTGCCCACGTCAAGAGCTAGTTGCTCTAGTCGTTGCTCTAGTCGTTGCCGTAACTCTTCTCAGCAGGTCAGGAGACACTTCCAGGTTTCCTGATCTTCCCTCCTTCCCTTTCCAAGATCTTCCCTCCTCCACCCTGCAATCCCACAGCTGACAGCACCTGGGTACCTTCCCACGGTGTTCCTCTCATTTCCACCGCATCCGGCAGGTCTTGCGGGAATGGCCGGATGGAAAGATCATCCAGGCAGGGCACCACCGCACACCCCACCTGGCCCCAATCGATCTACGATGACACCCTCCCATACCCAAAAGATCCCAAAAGCCTCACAGTGCAAAAAAGTGCACGTTCCAAAACAGTCCAAAACATATTTGAAGCAAATGTGAAACCTTGGCGGGCACGTGGCGCGCCGCGTGCGCGCCGCGTGCGCGCGGCATATGCGGCATGCGTGCGCGCATCGGTCACGAGGCCATTGGCTTTTCACGCTTCGAGGCGAACATCGAACCGCAGTTGCAGGCCGTTTGGCCGTTTGGGCGGTGTCTTAAAGTGGGACGTGCAGCGAAGACGTTTGCCAACGAGATTGGTTCAAGACTTGGATGCCTATAGGCCCATATATGCCCATATATATATATATAAGGACGGGGATGGAAGATAGTCTTCGGCAAAATTCTGCAAACTCATGTGTTCCCGTGTTTGTTCAACACATAGTCCCTGCACGAGAACCGCCAATCACCGACTCTTTCCAAGGTTTCGAGCAAGAACGCCTATAAAGTATTCAAAATCTTTCCCAAACGCTTCGTTCACTTCGCTTCATCCGATCTGGTCAGGATGTCTTCATGCAATGCTTCTCCGATGTTCTCCAGCTCTCTCCTCAGCGATCGATCGTTCTCGCGGGCGGCGTCCCAAACGTCCAAACGTCATTCAGGCCGCAACATGGACATAAGCCCATGCAGCAGCGTCGCAGACGAGAGCCTTGGCTGCGCTGCCAGCGGCCATATGGTTGCAGGATAAAAGTGATACAGTTATCGTAGTGAAGAGCATCAGCATTGACAAATCGTTCGAGGACTGCTTGTCAGTGGTGCTGGTCATGCGGTTAGATAATCTTACATCACCAGTATACCTTGTGCATCACATCCTAAAGTCGCAACTAAAAAGTGAATTATCTCTAGGTTGGCTCGAAGGCCTCCTTGCCTTGCAGTGGCAATAGTTTCTGGTCATTCCGTTTTCAAGATCTTTCAATCCCAGGGGGTACTGTGCATATCCTCTCATGTATGCAGATGCTGGACACAGTTTGCCTGTAGTATATGAGTCCTTTTGCAGCATTCCTGGAACTCAGCGCCCCTACTGAGGGCTTGCGTCACTCCTTGGGGAGCATCAACGTGGGAGAGCTTCGAAAGCCCTTAATCTTCCTGGAGGACGAAAGCAGGGCCCGGCAGGGACTGGTAGAAAGAACCCTTGCCGTTTCGTGTGGAGGAAGACGGTTCTGCAGTTTCCAGAGGGATCTCGAGGGTCACTGGTCATTCAAGTAAATGCACTTAAATTGAATCAGTTGAGTATTTGTGTGATGGGAAAAAAGCTCTTGGATGGTGTCTTGGAGTCAGTCCTCATATAGGGTTTTGTATGGTTCTGTCATGAAAATCAAAAGATTGCAATGTTAAAAGCTTGAAACTTGCGGATGTGCCAGGTTTCGACTTATAAGCAAAATCAACAAAATCCTACAGATGGGGCTTTGCCTGCTGATTGTTTGTTGCACATGGCCTCGGGTCATGTGCACTTGGGAAATCTCAGCTTCTCCATGGGGCACCACTGGCCACCTTCAGCGCAGGATGTGCAGCTGCCCACGGAGGAACTGCATCGCACCGCGTTTCCCCTGGAGGCGCCGTTCTTTTTTTCGCATATGGCCGGTTTTGGGTCAGAAATCGAGGGAGAATTCCATGTGAAAGATTCGCAACCTTCCCTCAAGACAAGATCCAGCCGGGTGCAAGTTTGAGCACAAGTTCCAGTGTTGCCATCCAATAGCTGTGGAACAAGTTGCACGCGGAACAGCTCTTCTTTTTTCTCCAGGAAGTCTTCGAGCGAAACATCCTTTGGCTAGTGGTCATGTCAGCTTGCAAAGTCGCCGGGGGCCTGAGTTCTTGACGGGCTAGGTTTTGCCTGCGCGAGATGCTGGGTGTCTGGTTTCGGGGGTGGTGAGACAGTATGAGAACAGGTCAGGCATATTCAGGCATGAACTATATCGGGACGCAGTTAAATTGTGTGATTTTCCTTTGGGGATCCTTAAGCTATTATAAGTGCAAGATCATGAAGTTCCAATCCACTGTCATTGAGGCTGTTTGATGACCTTACTCACTATATCAAGTATACTGATTTTTATACCTTGAAGGTGTGGAGTTTGATGCCAATAACCTGAAACCTGAATGACCTATTTTGGACCACCAACCACCCCAAAAAATATGTTTCCTATCAAAACAGAGGTCAAATAGGTGGAATATGAATACAAATTGGATGGACCAGATTCCCGCTTGGCCAAACGCCATCGACGGGCGATCCCTGGAGGACTTGACTCCGGCGCCCAGTGGCCTCGGCCAGGACCGGGCGCAGACATCGGTGACTTGTTTCAGCCAAAGGAACCTGCAAACGCACATGAAGCACCACTGACCACAATGATCTCCCTCAAAAAGCTTCCAGAGCAGAGTCCTCGAGTTTGAAACCTTCCAAAAACGGGAATCCTCCAACAGTTTCTTCGACCACCAGAGCATTGCCAAGTAGCTGGATCCTCCCAATAGGGATGAAAAACCTCAATCCGGCCAAATCAAGTCCTCCACCCTCCACCCTCCCCCCTTTACGGTTCGCAGAGAGCGAACCGCGTCTTCAGCCCGCACCGCGCGAGTCGTCTCCACTCGCTCGAGTCGTCGAGGAGAAGCCTCCGTCGATCAGTTCGGTTCCGGGTGCCTTGGAGTCCTTGATCTCTTCCATGGAGAGGAGACCGGAGACCGTTCGTCACACTGTCCACATCAGCCAGTTTGGGCCGGGAACCATGCGGTGGAACACCTGTGGCGGAACCCACGGTGCAGCGGTAACTAAGCCTCTGTGTGTGTGTCGGTGTAGCTGTCTCCTCCCAAGCGACTGAGCGACTGTGTCATGACAACGGACAGAGGGGGGTTGTTGGGGGGCGTGTTGGTGAAGGAAAGAAAGAATGCAGAACGGGTGGAGATATCTGGAGACGTTTCAGTTGATTTCCCTTTTTTGGACCTATAACTCAGGATCCAAGAGTGTGTGCAAAAGAATTGGGTGGAGGGTGACGAGACACTAAGAAGGTTGATCAGGGATAGCGGGGAAGGTGCTTTGTAATGAAGGTATTCTATTTGCTTGACCTGTTTGAACCCATGCCAGGCGCTGGCTTCAGCCATTTGTCACTCAGAAATCTCGGCCGGAAGAAAGCTTGTCCAAAACCCAGTCAAGTGCCAGTCCACCCAATCTCAACAATCTTTTCCACACTCGAGCTGCAGCTACTCTCAACCCATAAGCTGCAGCACGTGTCTTGACAAACATGTCGGGCCTACAAGAATGCTACCGCAATGTTCGCAGATGGAACAAAGCTTGCAGCTAATCATGCTATATCATGCTAATTGACGTGTGCAGTCAAGCCACATTGCCACATTGCTTGTTCAGTCTTCTTCGCTTCCAGCCATGGATCTGCAGCTTCCTCCAGTCCACCTTCAAGCTGCCCAAAACCCTCGCCCTCCTCCCTTGCGTCGCTTCGCTCCAGCCGCCACGCCTGTCGCGGACCACCGGCGCTCGCTGCACCGAACAGCACCGGCCTTTGCGCCAGCCTTGGCGCTGGCGGGGCTTCGGCGGCGAGGGCGAGACGTTGGGAAAAGGAGACGGGCGGAGGAATCGGAGGACGTGGAGAAGCAGGAAGCTGAGGTACCCACCAGGCGGATGAGAGGGGGTGGAGAGAGGGGTGAGAGTTGGTGTGTCAATGTGCTGTGTTGTATGGATTATTCACACGAATTACATCAATTACATCTAAGTGCCTTAATATGGACATCGTCAACAATACCAAACCAAAACCGATGTGTATACTATATGCAGAACAATCGCCTCAAAGCACAAAAACACTTCACCACAGTGGCCTCCTCACCCTCCTTACTCACCCTCGCATTCCTCACTCCTCACCCCCTTTCAACCCGCAACCCTCACTGACTCCTCACCCCACATTCAATCCCTGGTCGTTCCACCTCGCAGGTGGGAGCTCCTGCGCTTCGCGGCGCCCCTGGCCGCGGTGAGCGTCACGGGGCCCATCCTGTCGACGATCGACACCTCCTTCGTGGGGCGCTGCGCGGGGACCTTGGAGTTGGCGGCCTTGGGACCCGCCTGCACGGTGCGCTGGGCGGCAGTGAGGAGACGAGTGCGGTTTGCGCGCAGAGTGGTTGACGGGGGGTGGAGGTGGCACGGGTTGTTGGTTGGGTGACCGAGAGGCGGGCGACCGAGCGGCTGGTGGGGAGGCACGTAATTAAGGGTGTTATCAGTGGAAGAGAGAGCGGAAAACACGTGGACCATGGGGAGGGATGTGGTTGGCGGTGTTTCGTTCCTGGGAAAGCGATGGTGGTTGGAGTTGGATGGTTGGGGGCTTGATTTTGGAGTTTCATGAATGAGTTGTGAAGTAGCAGGAAGCATGGGACCAGGAGTTTGCTCTTCAGACTTAGTGTTGAAGGACATGTTTAGTGTCAGTTGTAAAATTTGGTTTGGGTCTACCCCATAGTCTTTAATTCACACCGCTTCGCGGTCGAAGCCGCCCGCACAGATCGCAGTCATTTGAGAGAGTTTATGTTTCAAGGCGTAAAGGTCAATATTCAGGCCATCCGATGGTTCTGGGTGGGCGGAGCGCATGGTGTGGGCATCAAAAACTACAACCATTCACCTCATCCAGTCGGACTGGGCACACAACCGAACACATCCATGATATCAATCGTACAGTGTCCCACGGTTTGCCTAGACGTTTGCGATTTCTGCGATGTCCATAATATCTACCTATCTATCTATCGATCTATCTATCTATCTATTTTCGATTTGTCTGTCTATCTGTCTATTTTTTATCTATCTATCTATTTATTTATCTAGCTATCTATTCAGCTATCTGGCCGTCTATCTACCTACCTATCTATCTATCTGTTTATCAAACTATGTATCTATTTAGCTATCTCTCCGTCTATCTACCTATGTATCTATCTGTCTATTTATCTACCTATCTATCTATTTAGCTATCTCTCCGTCTATCTACTTAGCTATCTCTCCGTCTTTCTACCTGTCTATCTATCTATCTATCTATTGATCTACCTACCTATCTATGTGGCTATCTCTCCGTCTATCTACCTATCTATCTATCTGTCTATCATCTATTTATCTACCTATCTATCTATCTATCTATCTATCTATCATCTATCTATCTATCTATCTATTTATCTGCCTATCCATCTGTTCAGCTATCTGGCCGTCTATCTACCTATCTATTTATCCATTTATCAAACTATGTATCTATTTAGCTATCTCTCCGTCTATCTACCTGTCTATCTATCTGTCTATTTATCGACATATTTATCTATTTAGCTATCTCTCCGTCTATCTACTTAGCTATCTCTCCGTCTATCTACCTATCTATCTACGAGACGTCTGCGATGTCGTCAATGCGGTCCGTCCCGACCGGCATAACCGACATCGCCAACGTCTGGTCCAATGCCATTGGCTTGCCGAGACGTCTTCGAATGTCTTCGATGTTGATAATGCGAGCTGTCCCGACCAGCATGGCAAACATTGAAAAACATCCCAAGCTAAAGCTTAGGATTTATCTAGCCGGATTCCTTGCGATGTTTACACGAGCCCACACAACGCCCTCGGCACCTCCGGTGCGGGCGGATTATAGTATTTAGTCCTTTTTGCGTTTCATGACTTGGCTTCCCGGCTGTAAATTTCAGAGAGGGGTGACTGAGTCTTTGTTCAGTCTTGAAGGGAAGTGGCCCAACCTGAAACATCTTCTAAATCCAAGGTGACCGATCTGATCTACCTGATTTGCAGCACCATTTCAACTGCTGCCATCAACCTCTATGCCGGAGTTGGGGAGGACAGGGAAGGGACTGGAGTTGCAGGGTGGAGGGCGCCACCAGAGCCGGAGTGGATCCAATTATCACGGTCGATCGATGTGCCTGGTACACTGTCCAAACCTCGAACATGTTCATGAAATATGTAATTATCTAGGTTGGAGGTTAAGCAGGACTGTGTCATGTACCATGTACCAAGTCAGTTTATTTAAAACACATTGACGCGAGAAAAGGGACAGAAACCGCTCCCTCAGGAGGACACGAAGCGGAAGCGCTTCAACGCCACCTGCGTGTCCGTGGCCTTGTGCATTGGCCTCACCGGCGCCGCGGTCTCGACGCTGTTGGGCCGCTTCCTCCTCCAGGCGCTGGGGGCCACGCCAGCGACTGGGACTGGTCCGGGCCTGCCCGTGGAGGATGGGGTCGGTTGGGAGGTCCTTTTGGTGTTTGGGGCAGGGGAGATATTTAGCAGCTATATTTTCCTCCAAGTCCATGACCTCGTTAAACTTGTCCATCTCAAAATGAAGACACTGAACACTATTAACTTTAATAGAACCTAGTCCCATGCAGTTGGGGGTTCATTGTTCATGCTGTGCTTCAAATCTTTGCAGACAACCCAAATTGATGACACTGCATAGATCTTGACCTCATGGAGTACTGGTTTTGCACGACTGGACTGGATCCACTCAAAAGGGGGCCCCTCACCTGTAGGGGATGAACACGCATGTGCATGCATTCATTCCTCACTTCCCTCGTCGTGCGTCGGGATGCGGAGAGCAATAATAGCTCACCACTGGAAAGCGTGGAAGCCTATTGTCGAAGATGAAGGTGCACATGGCTGGGATGGACACGCAGAGGGGACGGTGCTTGGGCCAGGGTGTTTGATGGCAAGCGGCTAAGCCAAGAACCGCAGTATACATGAGCTGATCTTGACGTGGCTGTTTCCAAGCTGAACAAACAGGCCCGGGGTAGCCCCAGCGGCCCGGAAGATCATGCCGGACTCGAAGCCACGGGAGCATGTGGTCAAGGTGCTGAAGGCAAGGCGTTCATTTGGTTTGGTTTGGATTTGCTTAGTTTGGTTTGACTGTTTTGTTGTGACTTTTCTTTTTTGTTTGTTGTTTGCTTTGTTTCGCTTGGATTGGTTTGGTTGGTTTTGGTTGTTTTGTTTTGAACTTTGTTTTTTGTTTGGTTCGGATTGGTTTGGTTTGGTTTGGTTTGGTTTGTTTGTTTGTTTGTTTGTTTGTTTGTTTGTTTGTTGTTTATGTGTTTTGGCTAGCTGTTTGTTTGCTTGTTTGTTTTGCTTGGCTGCAGTGCTTTGTTTTGTTGTGTTTGTTATTGTGGTCGTTGATTGTTGCCATGTCTATTGATTAAGCGTATTACAGCCTGTCAGGCGAGGGCTGTTCGATTTTAACAACAACACACAACCACAAATACAATCACAAACACAGAAGAGATTTTGTTCCAGACGCTGCTGCAAGAAGGGGGTCAAGTGCGCTGACAAGGACGTGGCATTTGCTGAGATCCTTGCAGCTGCACAGACCAAGCATTTGCCTATCAGTTCTGGTCTTTGTGGAAGTGCCTCCAAAATGAAGATTTGTGCAGCCTACCTTGACTCACTGCAAGCTCTCTTAGACCCAATCCCCAGATGGTCACTGGGTATTCATTGTATTGGGGCCCACAGCTTGGTGTTTGCTCAAAAGCTTGGCACAAGTGCGCTGATCTTTGGCCAACTGACCCTTCCTTTGTGTTGCAGCTCACAGCTGGGGCGCCCCAGTCCAACACTAGTACCAGCCTTCATTTGCCACTCCGCCTTCGGTCAGGGCCAGAAGGAACGGCCCTGTGCTGCACAGACACCAGTTGCCCGCGCAGAAAGGGCGACGAATCGTGACCAGATGATGGAGAGCTGGATTTGTTCAACGTGGTGGAGGATGATGGAGAAGAGAACAAGAAGAGGGTGCAGCGGTTGACCAGCTCCAGCCCATAGTCTGGCACTACTCGTGGGAAGGCCCACGCAGCATTTGTTGGGCCCACACCATACGCATATGGATCCCGCTTCTACGCAGCCATTTTGCAAGATCGGGATGGTCGAGACCGCCTCATTGATGCTGGCCATTTCCGTGACGGCTGATCCAGGCGCTGCAGTGGCGGCGCGGCAGTTCCAGAAGAGCTGCGCGTTCTTGGTGGACCGGGCGAGGGACCACTCCTGTACCTTGCGTGCGCGTTTGACTTGAGTCGCATTCTTGTGACGTTTGCTACCTTTTTTGGTGATGGCATGCTTGCCACATGTCACGAACACACAACATGTTCGCAGCATGTTATTTTTGTTACGTTATTGAAAGGGGGCCGCGCCCCATCTTTAGGGTCAGGTGCAGTTTTGCGCCTGTATTTTTTTGACGTGTTTGGTGGTTCCAGCAAGGCCATCATGCCATGCAGTTGGCCTTAGAGATCCTGTTTCGGAAGTGTTTCAAGCAGCACCAAGCGATTTGTGGCAACAAGAGATTCCAGCGGGCGCAGGAGCTCCAACTCATCTTGGCGAAGGATTACTCCTACGAAGAGTCGGCTGTTCAGGTGCAGTTGCTCCCTACACGCACACACACAGAGGCTTGTTGGTGGGAGATACGATACCCAAATAAGACCCGAACCAGAAACCGTTCAGATCAAAGCATACTCAGCCTCGCAGCACCCCTAGAGGTCTTCGAGGTAAATAATACGGGGGATGACCCTTTGGCTGGGTGGAACTTGATGCCTGCCAAGCTGTTTGACAACATTCCAGGACTTCTGCAGCAAGACTAAGAGCTGGAGTCGAACCATTTGTTGTTGAGCATGTGCCGTGGTTTCGGCTCATATATCATTATATATCTCTTTTTTGCGGTAGGGCGGGTTGCCATGCTTCAGGTTCTACCACTGGTGGTCAGGGCATCCAAATGTCAATCAATCTTCAATCGTGAGTGTGCTTTGCTGCTCTTTGCGCCAATCTTGTTAGGGCGTGTGGACTTTGATCTTGCGCTCTATTTGTTTTTTGAATATTCAGCAAGCTGCAGAGACTGACCGTGGGTGCTTTTGGACTTGTTTGGTGAAACCTTTCACTCATGCAAGTTTTTGTTTTTTGTGGCGACGATTCAAGTGCTACCGCCAATCCGATATGTATCAGTGACGTATAAAGCCCTCTCCAAGGACAGACCTTGTCAAAGACGGCGGCTCAGCTTCTCCCCCCATGCTCTGCTTCCCAGATCTTACACCTACTATAGGCTGTGTTTGTTCCATGATGTCAGGTGTCGCACGATCTGCGATGTATTCTAGTGCATGTGTCGTGCTGAGGAGCACGAAGCAAGACGTTGGCCGGAGCTTAATGCCTTGGACGCACAGCCCGAGAACGAGGTGTTCAGGCGCTCGTGTGTGCATGTGAAGGGTGCCGCCCCGGACCAAGACTTGTATGCTGTCTTGTTGGGAGCCTTGTCCTTTGTCAACGACTAGACTGGCATCCGATCCAGCCTGAATGCCATCCTGAAGATTCAACCAGCGAAAGGGCCATCGCTTTGCAGGTTCAGACCAGGAACGAGTCAGGAGTTTCAGCCGGCAGAGAGCTACTCATAGACTATGGTGCCTCTTAAGATCAGAAGCTGGCAAGCGCCAAGATTGTGAGGCTCCGCTTGAAGTGTGCAAAGGCATGCGCGCGCAGGACAGTTTGGCTCTCTGATTACACAGTGCATTCAGGTTGGTTACTCATTCTGCAGCATCTTCTTGTCAGGAATTTTGATGGCAAGCGGCCTAGCCAAGAAGCGCAGCTAGGAACCAAGAAGTTTCAGTTGGATGGCAAGTGGCTGAGCCAAGAACCGCGCTAGCATCACTACCATGAATTTAACTCGCTGTAAATTTTTGTCATTTGTGGCAGGATCGATGTGGATGTGGCGTGGCGACGATGACGTGGCACGTACAGGCAGTTTCGACATCTTCTGACTACGATCGTGTACTTAAAGCTTGGCCACTTTTCGCACCTCCCATGGCAAAACATGTGAAGGTTCCCATAGAACATCACTCCAGGAGGTAACGCACCATCTTTTATACTGAGTTTTGTGACTTTTTCGAGTGCTTTTCCATCAATTCTGGCAGGATCTATGTGGGCTCCTGTGGCGACGCTGCTGTGGATGAGACAAAAGGGTGTTGTGTCCGACAAACAGGATGTTCAAGTTAAACCTGACTCGTTGAACCTCGTTGAACCAGGACTTCAGACTTGCAGGGTATTACACCAATTACTATATACATTCAAAACCTAATTGAAGCATATAAATGCATGCTTTTTGGTGTGTGTGTGTTTTATAGAGGATCGGTCATTGCTCGGTGGGAGCATCTCTTGAAGGGCATCGATGTAGTTATTAGGTTGGTGGTTGGTTTGCTACATGTTTCGGTCAGGGTTGGTATGTATTGGTTGATGATTTTTGAGGTGCCATGTTGGTTGCTTTGTAAATGCGCAAAGCTGCCACCGAAGGCTTTCCAAGGAGTTCGCATTTTTAGACGTTGACATTGAGAGGACGTTTTTCAGAGATGTTCGCTGAGGTTAATTGCCGTAGAATACAAATCGTAATTGAGGCAGTATGGTTCCGTGTTGATTATGCTTGATTTTGACGGGCTAAATTTTTTGGTAGAAACCAGTAACCTAGATGCCAGTTGGGTAGCGAAATTGTAATTTTCTATGATATTGCTGTTCTTTGACGAGAACTGTTTGCATTCCACGTAGAGGGTCATGAGAGTCACCACTCCGCCGAGTGAAGGCCGCAGATAAGAAACTGCTTGCAAGAAGGGAGACACTGTTGAAGGCTTGAAGGACCATGATTTTCAAGCATTCGTGTGAAGACCCGCGACTTAGGTGATGATGGGTGTGGCGCAAAAGTATGTCGCCACACGTGCAGTTGGCTTGCCTTTGGCGACGATCGCCTGTGCCATGTACGGTTTGTGCGTGGGTAAAGGCGATACCAAGACTCCGTTGATCGTAACAGCTCCTGGGACAGGTTTGGACAGGCTGTTTGTGTGAGTTCTTGTAAAGAGATCCAGAGTAAATCGTAGAAACCTGCAATAGTGAATGTTGACCCGGAATGCACACAAACAACCTTTTGAGCCAATCCCCACTCTTTGCATTGCGTGCAGCTATAAGAGGCGCAATTTATTAAAACAAAAACAGTGAAAATTCTCAGAGGTTTGGTACAATCAAACATGCTGACTGTTGATAAGACCATTCGACTGGGCCGTTTGATTCATCAGTCAATCCATGTCAATCCTCTTTGACTTCAAGGGACACTTCTGAGGTCTACCTCTCTGCGGTGCTCAACGTCTTCTTCGACTGGCTTTTGTGTGCGGTGATCCCGTGGGGTGCCGCAGGGGCTGCTTGGGCTACCGTGGCTGCCCAGGCTTGGTGGACCAACTATAGGCTGCGATGGGGATCGGGAAAAGGTATTTTGACCCCTCTTGATTGGTATTAATGGCCAGGCCCAGAATCCATTATAATCCAACATAATCCAATTATAGATTGATCTTACATGAGGGTCCAACGTGGCCATCGATGTTAACAAGGTCCAATACGGCCCGCATTGCCATCCTGTTCCATCCAAAAACAAGTGATGGTCACCCGTCGGAAAGCGCATTTTTGTTGCTTCAACGTCGGCTAGGTGGGGAGTTTCGTGGCCTACTTCACCATCATGCGCCGAAAGAAGCAATTGCCTTTACCCAGCCTCAACGAGTTCTGGCCATCCTGGGCTGAAGCGTGGCGTGGGTTTGGCATCTGTGTTTTGACACCGTATAATGTTGATTAGATGTCAACTCCCCAGATAAAATCAGATACAGAGGTGTTAAGGTGTTACAATCTAAGTGCATGGAACGTTTAATGAATCAAGAGATCTACATTAACTAGTGATCCACATGTGAGAACGCAGGGCGCTGGCCGTGGAAGGTGACTTCAGATTATACAGAAACCCCTCACATCCGGCAGAAGCTAGGATTTCATGATTTCCCAAACACCCCCCTGAACCCATGGGACTGCCGTATATGCCTACATTGGGGTGCTTTGCGGGGTCTTTCTGGGGCGGCATCTATTCCAGTCGCAGACAGGTCGTGTCTGGGATGGGACGCCTCGTGTATGGGTCGTCCCCCCGAACCATGCTGAACCCATGGGACATCTCCTGCTTCTAAAGAGAGTTGTCTGAGGAAACGAAGCCCATCCTCTCCATCTACTTGCCCGTCTCCTTCATCGTGGTTTGTGTGCTGTCGATGTATGCAGCCATGTCGGGCTTCGTGAATCAAACGCAGCCCTTGGTCATGATGGCTGCCTACAAGAGCCTTGGTCACGGTCTTTTTTACCAGCGAACTCCGGTCTACCAGCGGTTCTCCAGTTTGATCAGGTGATGTCAGGAGAATGGTTGGTGTTTCTGCGCCTGGTCAAAAATTTGTTTTGCCGCAACACCACATTGATATCATTTTGATGCAGCTTCAACAAAAAACACACCGGTCCATGTCATTCCCCCGTCCACATCCAGGGCATCCCACCATTTGAGTCCGCGCACTTCCATACCATACATATTATTCCCTTGGGTCGGAAAAAACACCATATGGAACTGACGAATCTGCGCTGCCCCTGTGGTGCGGCCCGAGCCCGACTGGTGCGTTCCGCCGATGCCGTTGACGCGGCTTGGTTGCCCTGAAGTAGAACTCCGCCTGTTGGGATCGTGTCCCGTGGCCTCAGTTTTGCTCAGTCCCGGCTTGTTTCAATCTCCTGCACGCGAATTGACTCCAATCACTGCACTAACTGGAGACTCGAATCCAAGATTTTGAGAAGAATGACAGGTAGAGTACGTCCATCCCCATCTATCCGTATTCACTATCCACTACCTCCATCCATCTTCCCTCCATCCATCTTCCCTCCATCCATCTTCCCTCTCCATCTATCTCCCTCCACTACCATCCACTACCATCCACTCCCAGGATTTGGATCACCGTCTTCGCCTTCTTCGCCCTCTGCGCCGATCCCATGGCCGCTGCCACCTCCACGAAGCTGCCGCCGTTCGTCCTGCGCCGCTGCCGGCGCTCCGCCGAGCTCTTCTGCAGCCGCGGCGCCTCCACGGCCGCCGGGGTGGGCGTGGCCGGAGGCCCCAAAACGGCGGAGCCCAACGGAGGGAGGGAGGAAGATCGGGGTGATGGATGGTGGGGGGAGAGAGGCAGATTGAGATTGAAGTGGCTGGGATGAAGTGGGGGCTGCAAGGTCAAAACGTGTGTTGACACAAAGAAGCTAAAGGTATGTGTAGATATGTGTAGGCTTCAAGAGTTTGCGCTTGACTGCTTCGAATGATAACAGTTGATACATGTTCTAAAACACACATTTCACTGAAAGGCCCCTTGGGGGCCTTTCACTGGAAAGAAGAAGCCACCTGACCGGATCAGTTCGTGCAGGGCTCCTGGGTGCTGCCTTGCTCTACTTCGGCGCGGGAGCCTTCACGCAGGACGCGAGGGTGATCCAAGGAGCCAAGATCGGAGTGCTGCCCTTCGTCTTGAGCCTTGGCACTGGTGTGATCGTTCGGATTGTGTTGTGTATAAGACGTGTTCGGATCGACGCACATTTTGGATGCGTGGTGTCAGGCGTCATAGTAAACATGGTGCTAATGTGTTTTGGTTTAGGGAGGCATGCAGGCTCCAGCTTTGCTGGATGAATGAACTCAGATTGATGCTTGGAAATCCCTATGATCTTCAATCTTTTTGGAGGAATCCTCCACTGAACACAGAGTGAACAACTCACATGACAGGTTGGAGTTTCTTGGTTTTATGTGTATGATGTGTGGCGTTGTCGAAAAAACAGGTTGGTCTTGATTTGCCGCCACTGAGGATTTTATGCATCATGCATCCAACGAGGGTTTGTCAGAATTCCTTGGTAGTGCATGGGGATCTCTCGTTTTACGTGGTGGCCCAAGTCTGCTTGTCCGGGCTCTTCTTCCTGGGCTTGACTCTGCTGGCTGGGAGGCAGAGCCTGGCAGGGTCCTTCCGTGATTCTCCAGGGGTAATTGGATTCAGGAACTTCGACTTGGGAACTGGATCTAGAGGTCAAGTTATCAAGTTCTCAAGGGAAATGACGTGACTGACAGGGTAAGATACTATAGTGTAAGCTGTCATTTCAATGGTTTCCCGCCAGCCCTTGCTGGCTGAAGGCTGGTCTCGGCCCCTCGGCTTGTTTTTGTTCATCGGATTCATTCTCAAGTTGGCCACACACCCTTGGCACGGAGTTTGGCTGCATGCAAAGCAGTGTTTTGTGACTAAACAAAAGCCATTAATGATGATTTATTGAAAAATAACTGCCTAGCTATCCATGCCACAGTGCAAGAAGCATAGAGGAGAGGAGGTAATTGAACATTATTTACCGACTCTCTCGCCACGTGTTTCTCAAAACAGCGCAAAGCAACAAATCTGTTGACAAGGGGTTGGTTTCTTTTGTTTGCAAGGCTGCTAGAAGTCTTGGATCCTCTTTTTCAGACTTACACGAAGTGCCTTCACGATTTGCGATGATGACGATCGCATAAGAGCGCCGCATTCGCAACAGCCGCACATTAAGACAATGTAGACCGACCGTACCTCGTTTGTCGGTTGACCTTCTGTTCCGACGACTCGGTCGTCGGTCTCACCAGCTCCACGCGCAGGTGCGAGATTGGCAGCCTTTCAGCGTACCGCAGTATGATGATGGCCACCTTCAGCTTCTATGTGGCCAGCCTTTGCACCTACGGCGCGCGTGTACGGCACCTGAATCGAAATTTGGACACCAAAGGCGACCAGTGAGCGTGTGCCAAAGCTGTGCAAGTGCTTCACTGGTCCAGCCTGTCACAAAGCGAACTCTTTGACAAGAGTACCAAGATGGCATGAAAGAATGGATGGAATATGATGGAATGTTCACTTGCTTGATCTTTCGGAGGTTTGAATTTATAGCAAGGGTGGGAATTTCCCGTAATGCAGAAGACGTGTGTTGTATGTCCAACCAGCCGTCACACAACCATGGAAGGTCCACTTTGAAAGATGTTGAAGTGAGCAGAATGGGAAAGTCACCGGAAGAAATGGATTAGAAGAGGACATCTTTGCATCACATTATGCTTTGTTCTATTCACCTTGGTCTACGTAATATCTATAGAAGTATATGATTGACACCTCCATGAAGCCGGGTTTTTGACTCTCAGAGGTGGATCTTGTTTTTCCAGGGCCCTCTGCTCGGTGTCGGACGGTAGGAGCAACATCCTGAGCAGTCTCATCTTGCGATCCAGCAATTTGAAGGATGGCCAAGGACAAATGCCTCCTGTTTGCAAGTGGTGCAGAAGGAAAAACTCTGCAAAAATTGACTTGTAGTTGTTTGCATCAAGAAGAAATTGCCATATGCATGCAGAACGGGACTTGATTCTAAAAAAAGGAGAAAGGCATGACCCGTCCATTAGGGTTTGATACAAAGATATACTACATATACAGATTTGTCTTTCAGTCCTGCTCCTTGGCCCTTTCAGACACTGAACCTCTTGAAACCGCGCTAGACATCGAGACGTGGACCCACACGGACTCCCCAAGGTTCATGGGGGAAACCTGTAGACGACATACAAGCAGAACCATATATAATATAGAACCATTAAAACCTGATATACTTGCACACATATTGGACACCTGTATTCCACTGGGTCTCTCATCTTTTTTGGGGGTGAACCTGATTCCTTTGGCCGTTGGCCGGTGTGGCTCCTGAGGCTCTCGGGCGCAGCTCGGTGGCTCAGAACGGGCGTTTTTCGTCGCCGGTGACGCGGTGACACTTTCCGCGGCGGTGGTGACGCGCACGCGATGTCTTGAGGTGTCTTGAGGTACCAGATAGTGGATATGATCAGCTTAACGAAGCATCTGACTGGACGCATGTTACTGTTACAGGTGACATATTTTTGTATTGTATTCTACTGGATGCCATTCAGTTGTTCATCATGAGACACTCTCTTTTGTGGCTCTTACAGTTTTCTTCCATGGGTGCCTAGCTTTGGGCGGTGATCATCACCAACGACGAACGTCATTCTTCCGACTCCGCTTCGGCCCTTTCGACTGCGTTTGTTCCATCGGCCAGGTCGCCAAATGCACCACGTTGGGAAGCCCCAGGTTTCGGAGGGACCTGGGTCCCACAGAGAGAGGTTTGGAAGTCTTCAGCAGTGGTGACAGTGACGTGACACTGACCGTTGAGTTTTTCTCAGCAGCCAAGAGATGTGAGGTGACGGTGACAGTGAAGTGGTTGGAGATTTCTTTGTAATTTGACATCGTGATTTGGCGCGAACGGCGACGTTGTTGGAGGGACAGGGTTGGGTCAACGCTTGGATGGTCTACAGCGAGCACGACCCGGTCTCCGACCCGACCCGGGCCGGCCGGAAACGGGTCGGTGTCGGATCGTCGAGGCTGAGGGAGCTGGATCTCAGTGACAACCACCTGGGCTCCAAGGCAGTGGCCAAGGCTTTTGGGATCGGAGTTCGCAGAGAGAATGGATGGAGTAAATCTACCTCCGGGAACAGACTATATGGAGAATCAGATACCATGTAATTGCCGTCGATTTCTTTTCTTCTGGTTTTTGCTTAGTAAGATTGGATACCAGATCTTGATGTTTTTCCTGCATATTCCAGGTTCTGGACACTCTTTGACATCTTCTATTTGGCAATGGCTCATCGGGCTCTCAAACTCATTTTCAATTCATCATAATATACTCATTATAGTCTCCTTCCGGATTCCAGCGGGAGAAACAACAGCTGGAAACTGGACCTCCAAGCAGCCCTGACAAGTTTCCCCTCCTGTCCGTGTTTCGACAGCATACCGTTCGCACTTCCTGTCTGGGTGCCCTGGACCTGGAGACCTGTCTGGACGTAGGGTAGGCTGGTCCAGCCAGGTGACCCTTTTTGGAAGCACCTGGTAGCCGCATGTTGTTGGACCTTTTCGGATGAGGCGAATCTTCGTTCCTTTGGACCTTCTCGTAAGCCTTTTTTCTTTTCCATTGATCTCCATGAGTTGGAGAGGCAGTGATCTCCTGTTTAGCTATAGTCATTCCTTCTGCATCCCGGCGACGTGACACAGTTCAAACGCACGGCACGGTCGCGACACCAACAACAAACGTGTCATCTAGAGTCGGACTCTCGCGCGAAACGGTCCACTGTGAGGTGCTGCAGGCTGGCCGTGATAATCTGCAGATCCTGGATTTAAGTCAGTGGCCTTAGAGCCCCCTGGGGGGGAGGAGTCACCCATCAAAGGACAGTGGCATTTGCTGGGTTCTATGATTCTGAAGGCTGTTAGGGTTGATGACTACACTCCTACACATATACTCAATACCGGCTGGGATTGGCTGTCAGGTGGTCAGCTCATGGCTTCAAGTCTATGGTTTCTGACGGATGTTGAGAGAGGCCCATACATCTTTGTAAAGGTCATGTGGCGAGTGAAATTATGTTTCTTGGAACAACTCATTTAAGGCCGTGTCTCTAACCACTAGTCACAGCATTAATGGGTTTGATGGATTTGAGACGAGGACCATCACCGAAGCCAGGAGATTCACTCACACGTGTCACATTCCTTTTGTGAAAGCCGGGCGGCATACAAACCGAAGCCAGTCAGTTTACAAACCGAAGCCAGTCAGTTCCACCCACACCAAGACCCAAAACCAAAGAGTTGGTTTGAAGGGGTTCCTCTTGTCATCCAATCCCTTTCCACTATCCTCTCATCTTGTTCTAAAGGAAAAGCCGACTCACACCCCAACAACCTTGGATCAGCTTGTTTTCCAACCGAACCATTCAACTTGAAGCTTGCTCCAATGAATCCCAACCAGTTCCCCAATCCATTTTCCTCTCACCACGCTGTCTCACTCCGCGCTCGCTCCGCGCCCTGCCCGGTGTCCGCCATCCTGACCGAGCCGCGAAACGGGCGGAACGGGGTCAGGTCGCAATCGCCTGGGCGACGAGGGCGCTCGGGCGTTGGCCGATGCTTTGGGCAAAGGCGCCGTAGTTTGGGGGACGGAGCGCGCAGCGCTGGCGGGTTTTTGCGGTGAACTGGTGTGGTCGGGGGAGTGCCGGTGGAGTGAAGGAGGGGAGTAAAACCAAAAAGGAAAGACCAAAGAAGTCCTGATTGAAGCTTCCTGTTGAACTGCGGTAGTAAACCAGTTAACTGGAGGCTGACGTGTTATTATAGTTGATGTAGTTGATCAATTTCAAGTTACTTGTTCATCCAGAGCCGAGCAGCAAGCACATCATGCAGTTTTTGTTTATCGACCAGTATAAATAACACCATGTGTGGCGGTTGCGAAGAAGAGCTCCGCCAGGTCCATCTTCGGGCTATTCGCTGACGGTGCTGCGGCTGCGAGGGAATGGTGCCCTGGAGAGAGAGAGAGAGAGACCCCCTAAATACGATGTTATATACCGAGAACATCTTAGAAGTCATTTGACCTTTGTTTTGATGGGAAAAGACCCTTTTTTGGTTTCAAAACAGGGTTCACTTAGATTCTAGGTATATCTTATATTGCAACCATCCTGTAGTATAGATAGAGTATGACCAGTTTGCTATTGATTATTGGATGCTTTTAGTTTCTCCAATATTCTCTAATGAGTATGCATGGAGGCTTGAACAAGGTCCTTTCTTGGAGAACCCCCCTGATGTCTTCCTTGGGAGGTATCAGCGACGATGGTGGAGAATCACTGGCAGAAGCCTTGATGTCAGCTGCCTCAGCAGTGGGGGGAGCTTGTTCCTGGCGGTGGAACATGTGCCACATCATTTGGTGTAAAAGTTTTGAGTGAATTTAAGCAAATTAAGAATCATTCAGCAGTGAGTGGATGGTCGTTCGGCACCCTGATCCGTTCGTTCGGCACGTAAAAATTGTTTGTTTGTTGAGTTGATCCAATCTGCACAGCTCCAGGTCAGTGACCACTTTGCTGGAATTCGACTTTGCGGAGAATCAGGTGCAGGATCTCCCTTCGTAAAGCATGCATCTCCCGTCTCCCGTTGTCCCCACACAGCACCTGTTTTTGGGGATGGGACGTTCTCCCAAAGCAAGTCAGGGCTTTGTATACAGGGCCGGCAGTTTCGCACTGCAGCAGCACACGTCAATCCCACTTTTGAATACTTTTGAGAGTTGACACCTGCAGGTATTCCCTTGTTTTAACAAAATCCCAAACTGTAGGGTGTCTCTTTGTTTCAGATTGGTGCAATCCTTTGGACTCTCCAGATCTTCAGACCTCTCCAGCCCCCAAATATCGGCGAAAACATACGCCTTGACGGCTAAAAGAAACACGGCCATGATGGCACGACCTGCTTGTTCGCCCCTCCCCTTTTCATCCTTTGGAGGCCGATCATCTCCTCGCGAGCTCCTCCCTTGCAGACTCAGTATCCAGACCCCATCCCCTTTCGCGGCGACCTCGGCCTTCCCTTCGCGGGGGGGCCGATCATCATCTCCTCGCGGCTCCGAGCCGCGGCTCCCGCAGATCAGCGTGCAGACGGCGGCCTTGCTCTTCCGGGCGACCTGCGCGGCCAAGGTGCTCAAGAGGCGCCACACCGGCGGGCCCCCGGGTGGGGTGGGAAAGAGGGGCGGTGGGTGCCCCCCAGTGTGAAACACGCTTGGGTGACTGGTGAGAGGCTGCACGCAACAGTCCAAAGGCGACTGGAGTCCGGTGGAGAATCAGCCCCAAATTTATGGCTTCCATGGCTTCCAACATGAAAAACACAGTAGTCTGAAACAGGGAAAACCAACGAGACTCATTTGGCTGGTTTGTTCTGCACTTGAGGTGCTGGATGATTTCATGTCCAAAAAGTTAATGCCAATCCAAAGGACCCAAACTCTAGCTTTTTGGAGGTTAGCTCCCTCCATCAGTCGTTTCAGATATAGTGATAGCTTTTTCAGAACATGCAAAAGACTTGATTCTGGAAAGGAGAGAGGTGTAGATGGGAATCTTTAAAAAGAGAGAGAGAGAGAGTGAACAGATTGAATCCAATTGAATCCACGATTCTCTAGAATGGTCGAACTGTGTCCTTGCTCGAGTGTCCTTGCTCGAGTCACCAGTGTAGAAGAAATCCCATCAGGATTTGTCAGGTGTTTCTTGTGAAATTGAAATGATTGCACGGTATAATATGATTGCATTCTTAGCTAATAGCGGTATTCTTGCATTGAAAGAATTGAAATTATGGTTTCTGCAATATATGACTGCATTCTTGCGCTTCTTGGCTGATCTGCTGAATTTCAATGCCGACCTCGTGTTGAGCTGCTTTGCTGCCCAGCAAAGAAGAGCCATCTTAGCTAGGGCTTGGCCTTGTCCGGCTCTTCTGTTGTTTGCTGCAAGTGATTTCCTGCAGCTGATGAGTTATATAGCTGTAAGATGCTGTAAGCTGTAAGCACAAGCGATTGTGCATTCTTTCTTGTTCTTTCCAGACCCTTCTGGCAGAAACCGCTCAGGTCGGCGGACAAAAGACACAACACGAACCACTCTCCCATCAGCTCATCAGATCACCTCACCTGTTTCGAGAAGATGTAGACGGACGACACTCCTCGGGAACCACCAAACGAAGACGAAACAGACCCTCCAACTTCAACCCTCCAAATGCCTTCGCCACCCACTCGATCTCACTGGCGTGTGCTCTCTCCCTCAGCTGCCGCGGTTCACCAGCACAAGTGGTTTCTCCCGCTTGTTGCGGGGACCTCCCAGCCAGGCTGAACCTCGACAGCAACTTGCCGTGGCCCACCAGCGAGAACTGCGAGATGCTGGTAGCGGCTTTCACGGACCAGCTTTGCCTGAGTCTCGGGGGCGAGCCGAACGGGGATCGGTTTGATGCTCCAACTCCTCAGTTTGGGGTTTGGGAAAGATCGCTCTGATGCTTGTTGGGATGTGTTTTTGGGTGGGGGTGACTCCACAAGGTGGGTCATCCAACCTAAAGGATGCTGCAACATCTGACCTTGGAATACCTCGGAGGATGCTCATGAAATGGCTGAAAGAATCGTTTTACTTCCACATGGACCCCCATGGACCACTGTAGGTCGTTTGCGGAACATGGTCGAAACTACACCCACTCCATGTGTTCAAGTTAGTCTGTTTAGATGTAGGTGCGGTGTAGGTCATAGCTGGCGTGCGCCTCGTCTTCGAGTCTTGGAGTCCTGGAGCCAAGGTGGACACCAAGCAGTGCCTTCCTTGGAGTTGGTAAGTCTCAGGCGTCAACGGACGACACACGCGATGATGCGGGGGTCTCTGTGCGTGTGTCCGGTCCTTTCCGCATTCTTAGAGGATCTCCAGTTTTGGGCGGTCAAAAGTGCTGGGTTTGACCTGCACCCTGAAGGGTCTGGAGCTTTTTTAAGCAGGAGTTAGGGGAAAAGGGTCTTTTGAGCTTCAAAAGCTACAATACAGAGCATGAGCAAAAACATGGAAAAAGGAACGTGTTTTTTGATATGTTTCGATGAATCATGGCTCCTATCATAATATCTTGGACTCCACCTTGGGCTCTATGTCAGCAAGATATAGCGTTTTCCATGGCATTCCCGAAGGTATGACTGAAACGACGGTTAAATGACGTGAAACCACCCCAAGTCACAATTGACGACATACATTGACATCTCACCCCAAGAATGCCAACGTACAGCACATGACACTTGCCATTGCCCTCTCAATATCCAATCCCTAGGGCCTAGACATTTCGAATATGTTTGAATCCCTGTTTTAGGGAAGTTGGACCATCTGTTGGGTAATTGATGGTCCAAAAAAAAGGTCGGTCACCTAGTAAACAACCCCTCGATATGAAGTTTGAAGAAGTGCTTTTACCATCCATTTTCAGTGGCAAGTATTAATTCAATATGAAGCAATTCTACAGGTCCTTCACCGTCCTACCGACTCGGCCTCCGTGCCTGGCAGGCGTTGTAAGATGCACAGCACCGGCGCCGTGAAGCTCTTCCACTCGGTGGCGTCCAACACCGCTCCTTGGACCCGTGAAGCTCAAGCGCGAGCGCTTCTCGCAGCTGGCAGACCTGGATCGATCATAGAAGGATTGAGGGGAGGTCTGTGAGCGGCCTTGGCAAGGAAGGCCTGTGACCGATTTGACCAGAGAACTGCCTCAACTGGTGGGTGAAGATGAATGAAGGGATGATCAAGCTAAAGATTACCTGGGTTCTTAGGCCTGCGGGTGCTGCTCTAGTGCTATGTCGTTCCAGTTGTTCCAAGACACACGCGGGACATGCGGGACATGCTGACGCTGTCGCCCAGACCCTGCGCAAGCTCAACGTGGCCTGCAATGGCCTGCGACAGGCGGATGCGGCGTCAGCATTGAGAAGACTGACTGCTTGTATAAGGATTGCTGATCTAATCTGATGTTGGAAGTAAACAGGGTGATTCCATTCTCCATTCCTCCATCAACAGGGTGATGCCAGCAGGGTTCTTGCTGAGTAATCTGCCTGCCATTCTCGACTTCCATCACAACAGTCTGAAGATTTATGAGTCTCATGATGTCTCATGTTGGAGCAAACTTGATCTCACTAAGCACGTGTTTCTCTTTTCGCCGGGGAGTGTCATCCATCCATATCCATATCCATATCCATCCATCCACCCATCCATCGGTCACCCTTGGTCCAACTGTTTCATTACGCCAGTCCTCTCTCACCAGTCCTCGTTTGGCCGTTCACATGTCCAGTGCACTGGCATCGTCATGTGGTGATGATGAAAGCCAAAGAACATGCCGAACATGGAGGACAATCGGAAAATAGAACGCATAGGGTGACCACCTGGATGAGTAGGTGACCACCTGGATGAGTACAAAACTATGATATATACTGATGACTATAATTGTTAATGTTCTAATACCTGCTGTCAAAACAATGATTACCTTTATTGTGTTCCTCTATGTGGAGGTTGCCATGGTCTGAGTTGGCCGCAATGAAGCACAGCAAGAGATAGTGCAACCAAATGTGCATTTGCAAGAAGTTCTTTGGACTTTCAACTTTTTTCCTATAGGGGTTTAAAGGATATATGACATGACTGGGTTGTGGTTTCAGATAGTACTATTTTCAACCTTTACTTAGGATAACCCACTGACTCATGTTTTTGGTTCGGGAGTTGAAACCACCAACCAGCCTGATATTCCTCTACCACCCACCACCTGCTTGTATGTGTTGGCTATAGGATGCCACTATAGTTCCCAAACGCTGCATGTTCCCCAAAATAGCCTACATTCATCTACATTCACCCAAAACCACCCAATGTAGACCATATTTGCATACATGGAGCATTTGGGTTTGATATAAGTTTTGGGTGACCGTGAGGGACTCAAAGCTTTGCTTCTTCTTCAGGATGCCGCCGCTCCAGCCCACCACCGCGTCGCGCTACCGCGCACAGGGCGCTGCGCCAGCGATCGCCGCGGCTTTGGCGACCACCGGCTTGGAGGCCACGCTGTTGTGTTTGAGCCACATGTTGAAGTGGTTTCCTAGGTACCCCTCCCTCCAACAAACCACGGAAGTGAAACAAAACGGCATGTGTGGAAGACCGATCTTCTCTGCAAACAGTTGTTTGTTTCCACTTTCATGGTCGTTCTAGGGAGGGTAGATTGTAGATGTACCATGAGCAACGGCTTTGTTGATAGGGGGCACAAGGTGACGAGGGGTCCAGTTTGCTTCAAAAGGGAAGCAAAAAAGCAGTGCAACGGCTTAGTCCATGTCGTGTCGATTCTTGTTGAGTGGGTGCTTGAGGTGCTGTAGGATTGGATCGACTGGTGCCATGCCCCATGATCAACCGTGGCTGGGAGGAAGACTCGGCAGAGGGCTCGTAGGGTTCAGGCTAGCCATGGGAAAAGTGGGAAATCCACAGATATCCACGGATATGAAGCTAAACACCTATCTATCCCCGGTCGCTCGTTGCTTTTCGGATGGCGCCTATATCATCGGCCAAGCGCCGAATGACGGCGCCACGGGCCACGGCCAGGTCTTGGACTTGCGGGACAATCGCCTGGGTGCCTTCGACGCCTTGGGTTTGGCCTTCCAACAGGCCGAACGGAAGGACCGCAGTCGTTCCAGTTGGTGGGCAGTGGACATAAGGATGAGATGTTTCGGTTGAGATGCCGAATTAAGGAGAAGTGGACGTAGATTCGATCTTGGATCAGCAGCCATGATGTGTCATTATACGTACTACATTCAATTTGAATTCACTCTGAAGTTTTCCATCCAAAGTTTTGTAAAGGGAGGCTTTGGGGGCAGGGATAGTTGGGTGATGGCGGTTCGTATGATAACTTCCACTTAGGGTCCCAAATGCTGTTGGGAAGCGCACATGAATTCATCGTCGACGTTCATGTTCCTTTCTGTCAATTTTCTATCTAAGTCCATCAACAGGATCATGAAATGGACTACACTCTCATCCGTGGGTCCTACACCCGGGAAAATGAACATGGAACCTGATGGCACCACGTCGGGTTGGTATTCGGAAAATCGTCTTCCAGTCTGATCCATGCCAAGCGCGGTTCCATGTGGGTCTCTTCCCGGGTCCTATCCATTAGACGCGACCCACCTTGGGGGATGGTCCTGATATTGGGTCTGCGGTCTGTGTGTCCCTCAAGACCATCCCAGACAGTCCGGTTTCACAAGGGGGACGGACCAGTTCTTATTCAGTGACACGCCGTCAGGTCTTGTTTTCGACTCTTCGCAAAAGCAACCATACGCATTGAAAGAGACCAAGGAGATGGCTATATCCAACAGGGATGCCAATCCCACGGGGGGGTGCATTTGCAGTGTCAGGTCTTCGCACCGGAGCATCCTCACGCTACCGGGGTGTCCTCCTCAGTTTCTGCGTGCGTGAAGAAGGGCGTGCTCCGGAAGTACAGAAGAGCGTCGGGCCTGAGGTTGGGATACACTGTACTGAGTGGACTCTATATACGATTATATACGTCTTAAGGAAGATTGTGTGAGAGGTCCATCTCTCAGGATCGAATCATCATCCCTCTTCCCTGCTAAAGGATTTCAATCTAGTGTGAATCTTCTGGTGAAATCTGGTGAAACTATATTGTGTGGTCGAACGAGTCTAGGGCAGAAACCCATAGTTCACAAGTTTACATAGTTCGAGGAAGATCCGTTTCTGGAGGCGCAACAGGGAGATCCCTGGTCCCACCACCCTAAACCCGCTGGGTCGCCGCCAGACCACCGAGGATTTCCCCTTGGCTGAGGAGACCCATGCTCCGAAGCATCGAGAGAACGACAACTTGCGGTCCTTGGTGAGGAGCTGAGATGTGCAGAACGATCGGAGTTTGAGTTGTTTTTTTGTAATGAAGGTGGATAATTCATGATCATTCGATATATGTGTATGATAAGTGTATCATCATTTTTTTTAAAGACAAAACAATATTATATAATATACACCTGTATATGTGTTTATGTATAACACATGTTTGATATGTTGATTCGGATGGAATTTGCAGGATTGGCAGATGGATGTTTTGATTGATGAAGGGTCTCGTCAAAGAATGTTGGTGCACGACCAACTCTTCGTGGATTCTTTTTTCTGCGCCACCTGGCAGTTTCACGTTGGATTTATTGGATGACGACTGCCATGATTCAATGTAGAAGTCCTCATGTCTTGCAGTCTTTCAGAAAACTACCTGCTTATGCATTTCCCTCTATTAACCTAATTACATGATATTACATGTTTCAATCATCATTTGCGCAAAAACCTGCTATCCACGAACCAACAAACACGCTTCCATCCGCCAGAAAATTCGCGGGCGCCTTCGAACACTCGCTTCGCTTCCACTCGCTGTCGCTGGCTGGCTGAGAACCTGGGCAACAACGAGCTCACCGGCGAGTCGATGGTGAGGCGGCTCTCGCCGCGTCCGGGCGGGAGCGTGAGCAGAGTCAGGTGGGATGGAGGTCAGCACAGGGGATGGGCGCAGGGCCTGCAGGGGGCATGGGTTGGGAGTTTTTCAACGCGAGTTGGAGCTGGGTGGCAGAGATTAGATTCTGAAATCTTCAAGTTGTGCAATAAGTCTGATTAGTTTTGGGGTTTGAGAGGAAAGGAGCACAAACTAGGCGGCATATTGGGGTACCTTCACCATCCTTCACCCACATGGATGGGACGCCAAATCCGTCAGGCTGTCGCTAGCTCTCCCGAGCTTCACAGCCCTCGAGGAGTGCAGCACTCCGGGTTGCACGGCACTCTATTGAGGGTTGAGTAGGGATGTAGACAAAGTACATACTGCATACCTCAAGCTGTTGTGTTCACGTTCTTGCGTTTGGGACCTCAGTTCTTTTGGAATTAAGATGAATTAAGATTACTTAAGCATATACCTCTTGCAATGATGCGTCATGAACAGGGTTGAGGCTACAAGTAGGATGCGTTGAGGGTACATCGGGGATGGAGGAAACGGCAGACATTTGGACAGGTCTTGCTTTGAGGTCTTGCTTTCTATGATATTCTATGCAACAGTATAGGTCAACGATTAGCAGGATGCGTGATCGAATTCCAGAATGAAATCGCCATGGTCCATTCTCTGGCATGCAGCCTGGACCTCTCTCCCACTCCGCTGTTGGACGAACGCAGGAGCTCCGGCTCTACCACAACCCCCTCTTGGGGGATCTGGGCGCTCAGGCCGGGGCTGACTTGGACCACCCTGTGGAGCTGTGCGATCCGGTTTGTGTTGTGATACTGCACATTGTATATATCAGTATCAGTCGTATGAAGAGTGAAAACCACTGCAAGAACAGCCATTCTCTTGGCATGTAAACCATTGCAAAGCCACAAACAAGTGATGGCGGAAAGTCGGCAGGCATGCTTCATGGTCCGTATTTGGTTTCGGGCACAAACAATGCGCATGAGCACCTGAGCCCTATATCCTGCAGGCATTGTCAGATTTACTGGCCACGCCGCAGCAAACTCAGTGAGTCCTTGGAGTCTTCATGATTTGACCCAGGTCCAGGTCTGACATGGTCTGACGGCCAGGTTGCCAAGTTCGGTTTGACCTCCTGGTCCGGAAAACCTCAGCTGGAGTGATGGTTTTGAGATGACGGACTCCGGTAAACTGAGGTTTTTAGGGCCTATATAGGGTGGGTTTGGCAAGCGCATGTGGGGAGACTCCTTTATTGACCTTCACTATCGACGGTTAGTGATGAGAGATACAAGACACACCGCACACTTTGGTGTGGCAGGAGTTCATTCTTGTCGGAGAGCTTTTGTCATCTTGCAGGTTGTTTGACGGGAAAACTGAGGTATATTTCCACCTGGTCACCTGGTTCTCCTAGTGGATCACGGCTCTCGATTCTGATTGCCGAAGTTCTGGTCACCTCCAAAAAAAGGTGGCTCTTGAAAAAATCCACCTTGCATTTTGTGGAACAACCTAGCCTGGCCCCAAAACGCTTGCAAGTGTCGGGTCTTCCTTCGACCCATCACGAAGAATACCATCTAAGACCATCAGCTTAGTCTTTCATGGGTCTCATCCATAAGACACAGATCAAAGACCTTCGATCCATGCTTCTTCTTTCACCTCACCTCCACCCCCTCAGCTCTCAGGTCAGGCACCAGCATCACGCACCTCAACTTAGCGGCCTGCGGCATCGGCGACGCGCGACGCCTCAGGAGTGACCACGACCGTGTTTCGATCCCAAGGACCTGAGATGTCGCCTCCCAGGAAGCAGGAGAGTGATATGAATTCTGAGTCAAATCACCCTTAAGCCACCCTGAAGCACAATCTGATCAACTTGCCATGTTTGGTGAACACAAGTATCACTCCCAAGAATCACCTGAATCATCCTCAATGTGCTGTTGAAAGTTGGGGTCCACTGTGAGGCTGGATGTCAAGCACTGATGCAAGCTGTTGGAGATTACAAGGCCGCAGAGTTGGGGGGCGAGGATGCCAACTGTACCGGTGAAGTTGGGGTTGTTTAGACATGTTTCGACAAGCCAAATTGGCTCCGGAGCACAGTTGGGTTGGGGGTTCCCTACATCCTTTAAGTTTACACCTTGCTTGGTCGATCAGGTTTGTGAGATCTTGTGACTTCTGTCCAAGACGGCACAGGCATGTTTCCATACAAAGAACTGTCACGTTCAACCTGTCTATCATATCATCATAGAACTTCTCCGAGTATAAAGGTCGCCACAGTCCACCAGCACCACGATCCACCAACACCAGCCCCTCCATCCCTCCATACACCACCCGCAAAAGAAAACTGAAGCGCAGACCGACCGACCGTCCCGTGCCCTCTTTCGGCGGAAAGCCGCCGCAGATTCTGAAGACCTTGGACCTCTCCTGCAACGGCCTCGGCGACGACTCAGCGAGCTCGGTCGCAGAGGCGGCGGTGGAATGTGATGTGAGAGGAGTTGATGTGAGAGCTGAGGAGAGGAATGTGAGAACTTTTTGTGGGGCAATGCAGATGGGAAGCTCAAACAGACCAAGGAAAAAGCCATCAAAAGATGTCAACATTCTGTGGAAGATTGTGGACTCTCCTATACCAATCCAACAAAAAACTACTTCACAGCTCAACAGCATGTTCAAGTTTCCACTTCCTTCTTGGCGCTTCGGCTGCATGGCTCGGCAGCTGTTCTGCGTCGTCGTTTCCAGGTGCTCTCGCAGAGAGACTGTGAGCTTGAGAAGTTGATGTTGTCCATGAACGCCATGAGTTCCTCGAGCGGGTCGGAGGGGCGGGTCAGGTCGGAGGGGATGAGTCAAACAGTTTGGGATGCTAGGCCCATGTCCGAGCACGAAGACAGCAGGGGTGTTGACTTCAACACCTTTCAGCTGGCGATCTCGGAGCAGAGAGTTGTCCAAGTGCGCTACGTCTGCTACGTGTGGCAAATTGTTTTCTGTATGGGGACACTCGCGACTGAGGTTCCTATGGCATCTCTGAGCTGATGGATGGAGATGCCCTGGCATGTCTTGCAGAGCTACAATATTGGCTTGTGAATCACCGGTTTTGAGCTGCACTCGGTGGTTTTTGAAGTTGTTTGGACAAGAGAAAGTGCATGCGGTGGTCATGATGCTGCTGGTGCATAGAATGATTGAAAGCATCGTGGAATTTACTGTGATTAGTAGCCTCATTCTCCATCCCATTATGATGGCCTTTCCAGCATCATTCTCCCTTCATTCTCCCAAAGTCATTGAAACCGGAAGCCCTCCGCACCTGGCGGAGGTCATGCTGTCTCCTGGCTGGCTTCGAACCCGTTGCCAGGTGTCTCGCAATGTGGACGGCTGCTTGCGTGAAGTGGACGTGGCGTCGCAGGCGGGAAGAAAGCCGCGAAGAAGACGCGCAAGTCTACTGGTACTAGACTGCTATTTTAAAGATGTTGTATGTTTTGTTTCCGAGGTTTTTTGGGTTCAACATGGTTCAACCAACACTTGATGATTGATTCATACTGACTTGATCAGCCGATTGGTGATGCATTCCTGTCAAATCAGGCTTTGGTCAGGTGCTCGGAGACGTTGATCAATGGATCATTGATACGATGATCCATGGATCGAACATGAACAATAGACAGATCAGGGAAGACCCTAAGTTGTCCGAACCCAATCACCATATGGACCGTCGATGGACGGCCATTTTTGGAGATTGGAGGTCATCAACCTGCTTGGAAGAACGAATAGGTCCCGCGGATTCATCCGAAGAGTTTGTAACCAAACAGGTGGGTGCCATCCACGTAACGGGAGTGTAAGTCCCTCATCTTGAGACCCAGCCTCATGATCTCAGTTTTGGGACCTCAAAGCAACTGCCCAAAGGGAGCCCAAAGCAGCCTGTGAAGACCATCCTGTTGCCATTGAGTTGGTCGAAACCCTATGAGATCCTGCTGTTGAGTTGGTCGACCAAACTTTTGGAGATCTCAATGGTTGCGGTTTGCAGAAAGAAACGAAAATGCACTGCCACTCATAGAATCCTGTAATTTGCTTCTTTGCTTTTCCACACTCCCTGATTTAAATGAGGATTTTTGGATGTTGGATAACAACTGGAGCACCTGGCCTTGCCATTTTCAACGCCGTGGTCAAACATGTGAAATGTCTAGCAACTTCCAGCAACATTCTTCTAGAAACCGTTCTTTTGGTAGATGTTCGGTGATTTGAGAGATCAGCTCTTATGTATGGCATTGCATGGTAATGGGGGTGTGTACTTAAAAGAGGGAGACGTTCAACGACCCCCAACGATCACGATCCCTTGACCCGTCTAAACCCGTGAGTATTCGGGTGTCTCCCTATCTAAAATAGAGAGCCCCATATATGCCCACTCGCCCACGACTCTAGATCCCCCATATCTAGATCCCAGATGACCAGCAGTAGTTAGCCACGACAGCCAATCAGGACGCGGGTCCTGCAAAGACCCAGTTCATTGATGAGGGAATGAGCAAGGCGAGAGTAGCTGGTTTTGGATCTGGTGGAGCTGGTGGTGGAGCTGGAGGTGGAGCGGCATCGAACAGAAGAAGCTAATTTATTTGTTTTTCTATTAACTTCAACCAGCCATTCATTTAGCCAGAAGCCTGTAGAAAACACATGAAACAAGAATTAAAGACAATTTTGAACAAATGTAGTGTGCTCTAGAATGGCAAGCAAAATGGGTTTAGTGATATGATTCAAGTCTTGACTGGATCTACAGAGCCTCCAGATGTCCGGCGTGGGTTAGTTGGATGTGGATGCAGAAGACTCCATGCTTGGAGCATGCTTGTTGGATACCTTGGCATTCCGTGGCATGTCCAAAGATGTTAATCTATTCGTCAGTACAGGGTGGCTGGTTCAATGTTGACTCTCTTGCGAAGCAAAACATAACCATTCTTGCTTGTTCAGCATAGCTCATTGTATGTCACCAGTTAGTTAGTTATGCACTCCCTGGTTAATTGAACCGACGGGCCTGGCCGGACCGCGCGATCTCGCACCCGGACTCGCCTCTCTCGCACCGCCTCCGGCTCGCGCGGTGCGATCCGCGAGGTGAAATCCAAGTTCGTGGGGCTGCGCTAAAAGGCTCCGACGTCCGAACCCGCGGCGTAGTCACCCTTAAGACGTGGCGTTCGCCTTCGACCGTCCGGTCGGACGTTACCGTGCGGTGCGTTGGGGGGACGCGTGGGTGCGGGTGCGGTGACCGTTTGCAGGATGTAGGAGCAATTTGGGAAGTCAGGTGGTTCGGGATGCCTATAGGGTAACAAGACAGAACTATGAGAATTGAGAGCGAAAACAAGGGTAGGTGCTGGATGGATGAAAGAAACAGGCCAGACACAGGTCCTCGTGCAGAACTTGGGAATTGTGATAAGTGTTTTCAATGAGTTTTGACCACAAAACTATTTTCACTGAGAGGATCGAAAAAGGAAGGCCCCCTTGTTTCTCGGTTTTCTCTTCGATTCCAAGGATCAATGGGGGGCAAACCACTGGTTTCCAGTGCGAAAAGACCAATTGATTCTTTTTTGGAACGAAGCTACACTTAGATGCCCAGATAGGTTTAGATCCATTCTCCAACAAGAGGACCAAGGAACTATAGTGCTTCTGAGAAGCAGTAGCTCAGGAAAATGCTTCTTTGACATTGAGTCAGTCGAGAGGAGGCAAGATGCTGGATTTGTCTCACTTCCCATCTTAAACCCTGAAACAATCACCCACAATCCTGCAACGGATGATCAAGATGAACATCACGTGTGTCTCAGGCGCACCCCCACACCTTTGGCCGAACCAAAGCGGCTGTGAAGCATGCAGCCGGAGTGAGTTCTTCTCGCGAGTCATAAGACGTGACTCGTTGTCGATACGAGGGATGGTCCAAATAGAATATTCAGAAATGATCGCTGGGGAAACAAGAGACATTGCTTTCGGGCCCCGCAATAGTGCAAATTCCCAATGGTCTTGGTGGTGACATTTGGCTCGGCTTAAACTTCACTGGAACATGCCGGCCAGTCTCAAAGCATGTTGCCTCTTTAGACTTCCCGTGGACCATGTGTTCACCACTCGCCATTGACAAAGAAACCACAATGTGTGTTCTTAATGAACTGGAGATAGGCAGGATATGGCAGGATCGTGTCTTAATCTCATCATAAACATGTCAAGAAATATAATACACTTAAAACTTAAAACCACCATTAAGAGATCAAAGCACCATTGACAAAGACTGAATAAAAAAGCACATCTACACCCCCTGAAATCATCATATGTTACGTGGTTGGAAAAACGGCCCCCCAAAGGATAACCATGAGTTTTCCGGTCTGACCAAACAGCTTGGTGCCATCGTCCTCCAGAGTCCTCGACACCGACTTGTTCGTCGCGTGGGAAGAACGACTTGGACCATCGACGATCCTCGACTTCGTGTTGATATCGCGCCCAAGCGGCCTAGGGTCGGTCCCGGAAAAGTCCTGGACAAATCCTAAGACTTGCGGTGAAGAGCTTTCTAATCATGAGTCATGAGTATTTGAAGTCTCAAGTCAAGGGGATTCACAACTAGCTGCTTGGCTTAAACCTAGTAAAATATAAGAAGCACAATCCGATCCTTTCAAAGGATTTGGGCCAGTGAACCTCTCGAGATAAGGGTACTGATTCTGGGACCTCAGACTGGAAGGGTCTAGGATTGGGGCTCGATGAAGGACCCAAATCGAGTTCTGATGGACGTTTCGGCAGTCGATGGATGTTTCCAGACACTTGGGGGACTGAAGGCGTGACTCCGAAGCATGCTCTTCTCGTAGGGCAGCGAAAAAAGAATGACAAAAGCATCCCAGCGAGGGAAGGGCCAGAAAGAGAGAGAGGGGCAAGAGGGCGTGAGAGAGAGAGAGAGAGCATGAGGGTGTGAGGCTCTTTAGCCTTTGGGGGATCTCTCATTCTCAGACACTTCTTGGTTTTAGAGTGCTCGAATGCAACATGGCACATCCACCTGAGCACTTGTTGTTTGCCATGTTGGTTTTGGAGGAGAGTAGCATAGAGTAGCTCTTATATGCTTGGTACCAGTTTTCAGTTTACTGGCATCAAGTGGCAGACCACTTTTCACGTTCATTCTTCTCGAGTTGGATGCGCTGGCCTTCTGAGTTGGTGCGCCGAAGATCCGAGTCGATCCAGACACACGACACACGCGGCACACGCTGTCACGCGCAAACAAAGAAATGCCGAGGAAGCAACAGCTATCACAGAGTCCATGGAGTTGGCTGAAAACCGATGTTGCGCAGAGGATAATGCTATAGAGCTGCATACAACTTGAGAGCATTCACCTGTTCAGATCTGGGTCTTTTCTGGGTTCCATGATGCATGATATAACTCATGCACGGATCCAGAGATGGATGATGCAGCACCCACAGCGCCAGTTCATCCTGAAAGCACGTGAGAGGATGCAAATCAGAAGGAACATACTATAGAAAATCAGGAGGACCTGGATGAATGGAGCAGCTGTGCATTTGATTTGGGCCCTATGGCACCTGTGAGGACCCTGAGTGGGTGAATCTGAATGACATCCAGATACATATGTCGTGTCGAATACTGAGTAAGAAACTCCAAGTCTTGGTTCTACCTTTAAAGCCATGGAGTAATGTGGAGTACCTGTTCTGCATGGGGTCCATGTGCCCTTTCCCTGTGCACTGTTGAGGCGCTAGGACTCCTAGGACTCTAGGTACAGTTGGCCCACACGTTGAGTGCATGTCAGTGCATGCAACTATCTATTTTGTGTGTATGGAAAGGAGCAGCGATTCCGTTTTTGTTGCATACTGACCATGCACTTCCAATCTCCTGCTCACGTCCCATTACCCAGAATAATGCCTACATCATTCAACACAGACGTCTTCAACGCATTTGAAGACGTTTTTCTATCGGACAAACCGCATCCAACCGAACGCGAACGTCCCCACGCTGGTTGAAGCGAAGGACTGGGCCCTTTCGACGGCCTGAGCTTCGTCTCCTGTGTGGAGCATTGGGGCTCACCGCGACAGCCTGGGTCCGTTGGGGGGCTCAGTTCCAAAACCACATACGATGCTAGACTCGGTTCGAGTCTTCAAACACTATGTAATGTTTAATGATGCTCGTATTGCTTTCAAATCATTTAGCATCGTACGTAATACGGCCGAGGCGTGTCGGAATACCTAGATGCCACAGGCCTCAACAAAATCTGGCGATCGTTAAAAAAAGACGACAACAACAACAAACAACAACAACAACAACAACAAACAACAACAACAAACAACAACAAACAACAACAACAACAAACAACAACAACAACAAACAAACAAACAAACAAACAAACAAACAAACAAACAAACAAAC